GAATAGACACTCCTAAAGGAAATGTTCTTCTCCTTCTTTTGTATATATAGAAGAAAAGGAAAGATAATGCACTGCACGAATGCTGAAGCATTTAGAACAATAGCTTGTAGAATGCACCATCCTTAAAATTTCTAACCTATATGGGCATGTTCAGCTCTAACTTGACTCGCATTTTTTTTTATTTACTATAGAATAAATATCAGCCGAGAAAAATCATGTAGCAAATTGAAAAAAATATTAGAATTAATGCATACTTGTATAAGGTTAATGCCACAATGCAGTATATATTATGTATAGATTATTTATCGTGGAAATCTTTTTCATGAATATACAATTTAGTCTGGATGGCTCATTATTGAAATTCAATAAAAATGAAATGCGCGAGGTGTTGAATGTATTAGGCAGGGGTTGAATTGATATACATAAAAATATATCATTTCAATATATATATATATATATATATATATATATATATATATATATATATTATTGAAATATTTGGATTGTAAATGCTCCCATGCGGTTTGGTTTGTTTCATTTATCTCTGTCTCTTCTTGACTTCATCGAGCACCTTCTGTCTTTCCTCCATCCACCCTTGTCTGTCTTTTTCCGTCTCGCTCATGTCCCCCGATAGCGCGGTTCATTCAAAAATAGAACGTCAGCGCGCGTGCCGCGCACATTTTTCCCCGTGAAAACGCCGAATTCTCTGTACCACCAGTGCGCGTCGTTTCTAAACCTTACTTCTCGTGAAAATTGCATGCATCTTTCAAAGACAATTTTTTTACTTACTATAAGCTTAAATTTAATGGTAAAAAATGCTTTTTTTGTTATTGAACAAAAATTGCCCCCAAAAAAATATATTTGCTTCTATAATAATTAAAAATTGTCATAGGATATTAGCAAAGAATTTAATTGGTATTTGTGTAATCCAAATATTTGAAAAAAATATATTAAATATTATTTTGTATTATATTTAGCAAAATAAAACTTGGTTCAAATTATTTAATTGGCTTAAAAATAAATACCAATAAAATTTTTTTAAAACAAAATTTTCTGCTGTCCAAAGTAAAAAAACTAGTAAATTGCTTTTCTGTAAGGGTGAAAATCGTTTGGCCTGATCAATCGACTTTCAAAATTACGGAAAAGCGAGATTTTTACTCTGGACAGCAGAGTTATAGGACTACTTTGTTAAAAATTGGTCTATAAACAATTGGATAAAAATAATTTTTATTTAATTTTGCTATTTATTTCACATACATTAATTTAATATAAATTGGTATAATAGTAAAAAATTATTGATTATATTTGAAAAAAAAGAGTTGCCTAACAAATTAAAGTTATTAAAAATTGTCTTTCTTTTGCGCATTATAATTAATAAAGAAAAAAAATCTTATTGCATAAATGAAACGATCAGTAAGTAAATAGGTTAATGGACAATTTTGTTATCTCACCTCGTGAATATATACATATAATATATATATATATATATATGGTTTATATAATGATTATTAAATGATCTACTGTCTAGTAAAATACGTCTGCAATAGAATGTATTATATATTAATTTGTCTGCTATTGATCGAGAATAGTCATTTGATATTCTCATTTTTCTTTTCCGAAATACTGTCGAGTGTAAATTTTTCATGATCATGTCTGAATTCAATAATATAAGTATATATCCCAGAGTTCATGTACCTATATACTTGTTCATTAGTGTTTCTTTTTTGCTTAATAGATATACAATTTATGAGTGTCGGAGAATTTGTTTCGTTAGATATCAATTTAATTAAATTTTTCTTATTATTTATTGACAATATTTCTTTTTGTGTAATGTTACTTTTAAACAAAAAAAAAATGTATTTTAAGAATTATGTATTTTGAGATCAGACCAGTTTATATAAAAATTAGATTATTTCAAATATATAATACATGGAAAGAGATATATTTGAAAGCATAAAAGTATATATTATAAATGTTTAAAAAAGTAATTAAAAATTCAAGAAATAAATGGCAAAATTTATTGATTTTATTGAAAAAGATTTTAAAGATTTTTCTCCCCTTTTTTTGCGTGGCGCATGGCTATCCCATAAAAATTGTTAGAATTTTGATTTTCAAGAATTTTATTAGATATAATTGTGTTTTAGATAAATTTTGAATTTTTCGAATTAGCATTTGATAGAATTTTCTTTTAAACGAAATTTTTAGTTAATAGAATTTTAACTTGTACGAAATTGCAAATAGCCGAACAAACAATTAGCAAAAAAGATTTTGGCACGATTTTTAAAATTGAGAAGAAAATTGTGATTGGTGAATCTTATACAAAATTGCACCGCAATCTTTCTGTCGATTGTTCCGTCGGTCATTTGCAATTTCGGATAATTTAAAATTCGAAAGACCATAGTTCTGTTAAGTAAAAATTTGTTTAATTTATATTTAAAAAAACTATTTTTTTCATTTTAATCAGTAATTTATTTTTTGCAGTAAAAATAATATAGACAATTCTATAATTAAGAATTATTTAACATTTAGTGAATTTTGAAATTAGTGATTTACTTATTTTAGAGAGAATGTTGAAAAGCAGTATTAGTGGATAAGTTCGTTCATCGCAAGACACGCACGTTGAATATGTATGTATATATACACTGGGAACGGCTGTGCAAAGCGACAGCGCTACCGAGACGCAACAATGTGCGCGCGCGGAACGTTTATTTGTAAAAATAGGATTTTCGCGATTCCTCACTCCCCGCTTCTAAAGTTAGCTGAACCTCGTGTCTTCTGTAGTAAACAAATTTCAAAAGGCCCGCCCTCGTGTTACCAAACGTTTTAACCCTCTGATCTTCTCTCTCTCTTTCTTATATATTCATATTTCTTGGACTGATCATTAATATACTTCCATCCTTCTAATTACGCAAAATACTCACTAATTTGAAAATCAGTAAGAGGGCATTTTACTGAGAATTGGTCAACCCTTTGAATCGCGCATTGCTTTCCAATGAATCAGTATTATAATGGTATATATATATATATATATGGAAAAGTGGACACACTATTACCACAGGGTACTTGAACTCTCAAGTGCGCATTTCTCCGGGTATATCATTTTCATTTTCACGTGTCGCTCAAATCCGCCTTTCATGTGTACTTATTGTGTATGCAAGGCGAGTTACACACGTGCATCATCCCGTATGCATGCCGGTTTGCACGCGATTTCTGAACGCGCACGAAACTTGGTCCGAGAACGCTACATTGTACATCGCCACAAAACGTCGCATAGAGAGCGTGCAGTGGAGCGCAGGGTCGAACAAAAAGAAAACAAAAGGAGAGATTCTCACTCTCTTTCTCTTTCTCTCTTGCTCTCACTCACTCACTCACTCACTCTCGAAACCCCACACTCGCGTGGACTATTTTGTAGGGTGATCGTATTTTAAGAAGTTGTAGGAAGCATGAGTCCGCCGGCCAGATTAAGGCTGTACGCGCGCGACGGGAGTCTCTCCATCTCTTTTCATTTTGTCTGTCTGTCTTTCTCACGCTTTCGCGACCCTTTGCACGTACACGAAATGGAATGGCTTAAAGCTCGGAAGGGATCCAAGTCTTATCGATGAGATGGCGTTGTTATACAACTTTCCGACAAATTATTATCTCGCCTTTTGTTATGTTTTCTCGTCATTTTTTTTTTTTTGGTTTTGTTTTTTCAGTTTTTGTGACATTTTCTTTTGCGCATACAGGGAGAAAAATGAAATTTCAAAATTATCGATTCAGTCTTAGTAATTGAGGAATGCGAATTCATGATGAATTTTAGGACAAGAGTCCTAAAGTTTTGTATTTTCAGGTAGAAACTAGGGATACGTAAACCAGTAGCGTTAGACTTAGTAACAAAAAATTTTAAACATAAACAATTATATTTGGAAAAAATTTTGGACTGAATCCCAAACAGTTTTAGAATACTTGATCAAATTTCATCCTGGATTCGCATTTGTAGACTTTTAGGACTCGATACAAAATCCTAGTACTCAATATTTAAATTTTAATATTTCTAAAAATCAATTATTCGGCTTAACACAGAAAAAAGTTAATGTCATTTTTGTTGCGTATAATTTTGTCCATTTAACCCTCAACTAGAGTAGAATTTGTTGCATCCTTTTGCTTCAACTCCAAAAGGGTGGGAGAGTTTCATAGAGTTCAGGGAGTTAAAATCTAACTCCCTTTTTTACAGTGTAAAAAGGCCACACGGAAAAACACATTGTACAAAAAGAGAGTTGAATATTAACCCCCAACGGGAGTATAAGTCGAATCCTTTTGGAGTTGAAGCAAAGAGAGTAAATGCTACAGATCCGTTTTAGTCATCGTAATACGCACGGACAAAAATATAGAAATGCCCTAATATTATTATTTTTTGAATCAGAAAAAAATTCAAGAATCTGTGCAGCTGATATATTTTATTCCATAATAATGTGTTGCAGGTGCAAGAGGGAGAAGTGAAATTTGTTCATGTCGTGACAGACTGCAGGGGATAATAGTATTTTCGACGACACGGCCAGGTACATCAGGAGTCGTACTCGCTCGGTAGGAAGAGCCGAGGTCATAAGAGGACGTAAACGAAGAAGAAAAAGAAAAGTAAAAACGAAAAAGATAAATGAAAATAGTGAAAAAAAATTAGATAAAATTATCAAAAAAAATTACAAGAGAAACAATGCAAAAGGACATTTCTCTTGTAATCGAAGAATTCAATTACTGGCATCATCAGCAATTCAAAAGAAATTGGTCACAAGTTTGTCGATGATGGCGTTTATCGAGAATCCATTGTCATCATTCAAACGAAAGGATAAAATTTTTCCATTTTTCACATGTCGTACTTTATTGGGATAAAGTTAAAGAATGTTATATTCGACGATTAATCAAATGGAGTGAAACGAGATAAATTAAAAGAGGATATAAATAACGAGTCCCAATATTTGTGGACTCGGAAAAGAATATCGAGAGGATTCGTAAACGAACCCGGCTCTAGAACAGCTGGACTGGACGGCCTCGCGAGTTCTCGTGGTAAGGCCGGGGGTTGTGGGGGCCACCACGGGGGCTGGGGTGGGTCTGCCCCTGCTTCTCTTCGTTGTTATTTTCTTCAGCAGCCAAACACAAGCGGCAGTCACGCTTTTCAACGTCGCTCCAATTACATCAACATTATCGCCATTGATCACCAGGCGTTATCTGACGGCGACGACGACGAAAACGGACGTTTTATGGAAGACACGTGACGTATTATTGAAACCACACCAGTCTTTGTCGTCGTCGTCGTCGTCGCCGCCATTGTCGTCAGATAATAATAAGGAATCAAACGATTGGATTGGCTGGAAGGGAGGTGAGGGACAGATAATACCTTGGAATTGGAATGCTAAAGTTGCTCGTCGAAAAACGGATCATAATTTATCGAATTTTGGAACTCAATTCAAGAGTGGAACAACAACATTGAGGATTAGGGGATTAGAACAAGTTACGGAATTAAATCGTGAAAGTGAAGTGATTGAGGAAGGGGAGAAAGTAGTTGAGGAAGAGGAAAAGGGAAGAACAGGGAAAAGTGAAAGAAAAGTGCAGGTGAGTGGTGAAATTACAACTTCAGTAGACGTGTTCGTTGGTGATAGTAGTGGTGTCGAGTGGACTACCGCGAGTACAGTTGCCGTGCCGATGTCATCGCTTTCGTATCCTAGAGAGGCGCAGGGAGCTGGAAGAGTAAGGATTTATCTGGGTCCAAAGCAGAAAAGACCCGAGGAGAAAGCTGGCGATACCAAGGTTACTTTGGAGGATAAGGAAGCAGAGTCCAGCTCGATTGCCTCAACAACAACAACAACAACAACAACAACGCAGACTGCCACGACGGAATTGTCACCACCGACGCGGGACACCTCTATGGAAGCATGTAAGTTTTATTTTTTTTCTTTTTTCTCGACATCGTTTTGCCATATCTTGACAAGTATGTTTACACCAATCGACCCTCTTCACATGCAGGATATTTCGTCAGCTATTTTTATCCTTTTCGATTCCTTTTTGTCGAGCTTATATAAACAACTTGTCCTCTTGAAGTGTCAGGAATATATTAAGATTTCTCTGTAGTGATATGCGAAATGCAGGAAAGGAATTCTGACACTTGGTTATTATCATCTCGTCTTTAGTGGATAGATTGCATTCAGAACGAGACTAGTGGTGCATACAGTATTAGAATTTATGTTTCGACTGTAATTCAATTTCAATATTTTCAAGGATCTTGATTTTTATTAAATGCTATAGAAAAAAATTTACAACTGCAATTCTAGAATACACAAATTGTAAAAACTGTGCTGTAAACAAAAAAAATTTTGTTTTGTTCACAAATCCGATTTGTGTATTTCCCAAAATCAACCTCCATGAAGTTGGTGTGGACGCTGTGTTAAAAATTATTTTTCACAGGACCAAAGATATTATATTATTTTTAAAAACGTTTTGTTTGTTTGTTTGTATTTCACATAATACCTTGAAAAGTAATGCTCTAGGCATTATTTGGACCAAATTCTTTTTTAAAAGAAAAATTCGAGAAATAAGAAATTCTTCTTATTTAGTAGCTCCATAAATAAATTGGATCTGACCCTCCCTAACCATTATTGTAACGGTATAACTTTGTTATGAAATAAATAATCATTAAAAGTAAGTTTTTATCTTAAGTAAACTGTCAAATAGAATCACGCGAGATTTTGTCTAAGGTAACCTGTTAGTTATTGTCGTTAGAAGGTTTGAGAGTATATCTTGTCGCAAAACGTGCACCTCGTGTTTTCGATTAAAGGAGGTATAGTGACTCCGCGTATGAATCAGCTTATTTTTTTTTCTCTTTCGCTCACTGACCGCTGTCCAACTCTCTCTCTTTTTCTATCTTTGTTTCTCTTTGAAAACAGATAGCACAGTGAGGAAAAAGAGAAATAGAATCGAATGTATGGTACATGCACACACACACACGAGTAGCAGCGGCTCGCTGTCTCTTCTTCGTCTTGAAACATCTCCCTTGCTGCTGCTTCTTCTTCTTCTCCTCTTTTTCTTGTTTTCTTCTTTTCTCTTTTATTCTCCTCTGTTGTCTTTTATAATGCTCTTTTTATTCCCTTCGTCGTCTCACTTGCTTCTTTTGGCGTGACTCGTTTGCTTACACTCAGAACGAATCAGAGTCAGGAACACAGTAGACGGAGTATGGTGGTGGAGGGTAGACAACAGAAGTAGACACTCCTCTCCTCGCAGACAAAGTTGAGCAAGAGCTTTAGGAGTGACCACAAGGTTTTCGACGGTCAGCGACCCGCTTTCGCTTCTCCCCCTAAATAAATCAATATTAAATCCGATAGATGTGCTAATGGCCCGACACCCAAACAACATAAAAGTGACTAAAAAAAAAGCTGCATTACAAGATCGAAGGCGTTGATGAACCTTTGAACCTTGTGTGTTAAATATTTTTTTTTGAAGAATTTCTTTAACCCATGTTAGTAAAAAGAAAATGTCGAAGTCTGCTTTGTTTTTGTTCTTCTTTTATAACCTTTGTGTCATATATTTAAAAATATGTTTCTTTTTAAAAAGTCTTTTTGGAAATTAATAAAATTCGTTAGAATTTTTCCTCAAATCTGAAATGGTGAAAAATATTTCTTTGATTTAAATAGAAAATTATTACTAATATTAGTTGAATTCACTTTTAGGTTAGGTTGAAATAATTAATGGCAACTAATTCAATTAGTCAAATTTGATTTATTTTTCCATTGAAAATTTTTTTTATAAAAGAAAGAAATTACAATTATGTTGTTGTTAATTTAAAAGGGGAAAATTAAATATTTTTATAGAAATTCGTAATACTACCTTGTTTGTTGGTCACCCTGTAGAATCCGTAATCTGGACGATTCCCAACACGGTGGCTGCTTAGTACCGGGTACTGAGAGTCCAAGAGGAATGACTAAATGGCCTGACTAACCGGCCGGGCACTTTGAAACTCGTCCCTATTTTCGCTGTTCTAGTGAAAGAAGTAATTCGAGATAGTGCATCTAGGAAAATAATAGAACAGTATATATGAATTTAAAAAAATTTTACAGAAAAAAATGATAATTAAATAATAACAAGAATTGAATATAAATATTTATATAATATATACACTGAAAGAAAAAATTTATTTCAAATAATCGGTTACTTGACTATTATTAAATTTATTTGAAACGAATAAATATTTATTTGTTATTAGTTAAGTAAAGGATTATATTTGAATAAATTTTTTTTTTCATTGTATATATATAATAAAATTGTTATTTAATAACATTAAATAAATTTGATAATCGCGATTTGTTGAATTTTTTTCGTGAGACGAGAAATTTGAATAAATTGAAAGTCTAAAATTATAATTAAAGTACAAGATTATTTGCGACGAGAGGTTGTAATAGAGTAAAATTAAATGTGTCGCCTGTCCCAATGAAACTGATGCCACGTGTCGACCACTACTGTATATAAGAAATAAATGGGTTAACTCGTGGGAATGAAATCTCATATAACACGACCGGTTCCTTTTTCTTGGCTTATATATTTATTAGTATTATATAGATATTTTGAAATTTTTTTTTTAGAAATCAAAGGATTTTTAAAATTTATTCGTTATTTAAAATAAAATTTTACTTATGGGCAAAAGTTTAGCAATTGACCTATATGAAAGAAGAAAGAAAGCCTGCTTTATAATTCTTTTTTGTAAAGATGAGTCGCGCGACCTAGTTTTTCCACTTAAACGAGTATGAGGCTATGTTGTAAAAAAAAGGAGAAAAAAAAGTTTTATATTCAAATCTTCTAGCTCGTTAAAACGTGACTTCTTCGAGTACGTTGCCAACGAGAAACCCTTCGACTTCGATCGTCGTGACAACCAGCGAATGGCCTCGAGGATTCGTGATTTTTATTCTCCCCTCGCTGAAGGGAGAGACGAAGGAAGAAATAAGAGGGCCGATGTGAGAGGGAGATGGAGGGAATAGAAAGAGGGATTCAGCCAAGTTGGAGGAATGAGTGAGACAGAATGGGAAAAAATAAGAAAGAAAATGTGTGTGTGAGAGAGAGAGAGAAAGAGGATCTTCTGTGTAAAGGCAAAAGGAGTGATGAGAGGAGTCGAACGAGAGAAGGGAAAGAGTGAGAGAGGAACAAGAAAAGGGTTAACGTCCTTTCGTTTACTCCTTGCAGTTTCTCGTTTCCTCTCTTACTATAACACTCTTTTTCTTTTTCTATCTCTTGACTCTTGTATACAGCTTTCAACCGAGTACGACTTTTAGCTGTACGGAGTATTGTTCTGTTTTGCCACTATTTCTTATTCAATGTTATAAGGAAAATTTATATATACAACTTAAGTCAGTTATATATATCTGTATTTTTTTAAATACAATATTCTTCATTTTTTGTTTCTCTAAATTTTCTTTTTGTTTTGTAATTTAGGAAGAAAAAAAATTAACTTTTGCTCCGTAAATAGTAAAAACTACAGTTTCCGGAGTAAACTTTACTATATTTCAGTATAGTAATTTTTTCTATTTCCGGAGCAAAACTTATCAAAAATGCGCAGAAGTTATGGACAGTTCAGGTTTTATTTTGTAAATATAGTAAAAGTTACTCTATAGGGCCAATGAAAAGTTTTTTTAAATTTAAAGAAACTCGATTTGATTTATAAAAAATTTGTTTAATTTAAGGAAATACTTTTTCAATTTCAAATGAAGTTTTATTTATAGTATAAAAATTTTTTAAATTCAATAAATTTTATTTAAATTAAAGAAAACGTTTCTTTGACCCTGTATTAAAGAAAAAATTTTCTTGATGGTAGGATCTTTATTCTTTTTGCTACTTGGATCTTTTTTTTTATTTTCTCTCAATTAAATTGGCATATTCAACAATGAGATAGAGGAATAAATTAAGGTCACAATTGATATAGTGAAAATTTTGTTAATTTTGGAAAGTGAGAATATTTAATTGTGATAATACAATTAAACTCGATATATACTTCTAATTGATAAATAAATTTAGAGATTGTAAATATAAAATATTGATTTCAGTTAAATATAACGAAAGCGATAGTGTTTTCATTGACAAAAATTAATATACTCACACTGTGATATAATAAATGTCGTGTGTAACACGAAGAGAAAGAAAGGTCGTGGTCGAAAATAGATGTCTATGTCTAGGGGGTGGTGAATCGAAATTGTCTGATAGGAAGTATAGAAGACACAATAAAGTGAGTCTGAATCGAGCATTTATCTCCATGTCGATCGACTTTTTGTTCGTATTGTATATATATGGATGAGGATTTGAGTAAAGTAATATATATGCTTTTCTACATGTGTGTGTGTGTATTGTAAGATTCAAGATAGAGATAGTTTAAGGGCAGGTCCATAGGTATAGGTCAACCAGAGAAGGGGGTGCGAAAGGGCTCTGTTGCCATGGCAACACTGGAACGGCACTGACTGTAGGGGTGCCTCAAGTTTTTTATGGCCTGGACGATTGCCGGAGGGTCGGGACTCTAAAAATCGTTACACAGACCTAGATACCCGACCTCCCTCTATCTTATACTCTTTTTCTCTTTCTACGCCCTCTTTACACTTCGCTCTCATTCTCTCCCGACGCGCCTTATGTCTCTCTCTCTCTCTCTCTCTCTCTCCTTTTTTTATATACACTTTGTCCGTGCTAAAGTAGACATTTATATTATTTCAGTTTCTTTAAATTTTTTTATTTGGAACAAATTTCCTTGCATTGTCTGCCGCCAGTACTGCGCCAGTAGTCAATTTTTGATAGGTTTTTTTTATTTTTGTAATTTAGTTTATTAGAATTTTTATCCAAACAAGATTTAAAGTGAAAAAAAATGAATTTGCAGGGGTCATTCTGGCTCTTTGCTCTCTTCTGATGATTTAA